TTCCATACCTCTCTCTCAGCTTCTAGTGCTGCTGGCAATCCTTGGTCTTCTTTGACTTGTAGATACATCACTACAATTTCTACCTACATTGTCGCATAGTGTTCTTTCTATCCTTATGTCTTTTCTTCTTTTCTCCTAAGAACACCAGTCATAAGGGATTAAGTACCCACTCTACTCCAATATAACCTCATGTTAACTTGACTATAGCTGCAAAAGCCCTACTTTGAAATAAGATAAACATTTCACAGGTTGCCTTACACTCACAGGTACCAGGGATTAGAATTTGAACCTATTTTTGGGGGAGGACACAGTTTAAGACATAATCCTCAAATCCTGTTACTTCTTTAAAGAAGAAGTATTAATTAATACTTTAAATTAATGTTAATTTTTAATTAATTAAATTAATTAATACTTTAATTAATTAATTAATACTTTAAATACTTTAAATACTTTAAATTAAATTAAAGTATTAATTAATACTTTAATTTAATGTTAATTTTTCTTTAAAGTAGAAGGGGAACATAAAGAGCAAATTATTCAACAATTTACTCACTCATACAACAGATATTTATTCTGCATCTAGTTTATGTTGGGCACTGTTTAAGATCCTGATGAGAAGTCTGTGATCAAGACAGATCAGGCCTTTGGTCTTTCCAAGCTAATATCCTAACTGTAACATCTACAATGAACATATAGAAGGAGGATTTTTGATAGGGGCAAGTGCTGTGAAAATATAGACCAGGTAATGGGATATAGAATTACTCTATAGGCAGGAGTAAGGCAAGGATGTTCTTGTTCAGATAAGGAAAGTGAGGAAGACTTCATTGACAAAGGAATATTGAAACTAATCTTAATGGAGAACATTCTGGTGAAGGGTCATTCTAGATAAAAGGAAGAGGAGATAAAAATCTTACAAATTAAATATGTGTCTGGTAAAGTATAAAATGAAATCTCCTGTGACTAAAGCTTAGTGGCCACAGCAGGAGTAGAGCCACATGGTGTCAGACAGAAGTGTTCACATCATGTAAGCCGTAACAACAAGACTAGATTTTACTCTAATTGCAATGGGACACTAGAAGGTGGTTTTAAGCTAAGACTAGTATTTATGTTTTAAAAAACTCCTCCTGCCTGCTAGGTGAAGAATAAAATCTAGGAAAGCAAGAGTGGGAACAGAAATCAGTTTAGAGATTATTTAATCAGTCTAGTAACAGATGATGGTTCGGACTAGAGGGATAAGTTGTAGAAGTCGAGATAGTGAAAAGTGATTGGCTTTGCCAACATTTATCAATTATCTGCTGTGTGCCAGGAACATTACATTTGTGATAAGTTAAATAATGAACATCCAAAGATGTCCCACACCCTAATACCTGGATGCCCACACTCTAATGCCTGGAGCCTTTGAATATGTCATGTAACATGGCAAATGGGACTTGGTAGATGTAATTAAATCATAGGCAGTAAAATAAGGAGGCAATCAGGGGTTATCTGGGCACAACCCAATCACATGAGTCCTTAAAAGTGGTAAACTTTCTCTGGAAATAATAAAAAAGTTGAGATGAGAAAAGTCATAGACAATTAAAATGACAGAGTGACTTGGCCTGCCATTGCTAGAGGAAGGGCTCACGGAAAGTGTGTGAAGGAATGCAGACAGATTCTAGGAGCAAAGCATGGCCCCCAAGTGACAGTTAGGAAATAGGGACTTCATTGCTACAACTGCAAGGAACTAAATTTTGTCAACAACCTGAGTGAGCTTGGAAGCAGATTCAGCCCCAGAACCTCTGGAAACAAATTTCATCACCTTGATTTTGGCCTTGTGAGATTAGCTGAGGATCCACCTTGTTTACAGTCTACCCAGGTGCCTGACATACCCGATGCCTGACTTTTTACAGTCTACCCAGATGCCTGTGAGATAATAAATGGGTGTTGTTTTATGCCACTATGTTATTGGTAAATTGCTACAGCAACGATAGAAAACTAAGGCCATATCTGTATTTCCCATTCCACATGCAATCCATTCAAGCAGTTGGTCCTTTCTGTTCCCACTGTGTCATAAATCTTGGGTAAGGCGTTACTTATTTTAGACTTTAATTATTACCACAAATGAACAGCGAAATGCCTAAGTTCAATCTTACCTTATGTTCTATCAACCACATTCAGTTAGAATGATTATTATAAAATGCACGTCTGATCAGGACATTCCTTCTTTATTTGCGGGAATAAATCCTTTCTGCCAATGCAACCAATTCAGGCACTCTTCCCTTCAAAGCAGATTGAGTCTACCTTCTCAATGCTTCCATAGCTTCCTATTTAGCATGCTATCTCATCCCCTATTCCTCTATTGATCACTTTCCCTTTTAAAAATTATTTACTGTGTTTTTAATTGCAAAAATAATCCATAAAACAAAATAATTCCGGTCATAAAAAGGTAAAAAATGTTTCTTACATCTTTTCTATCCTCATCTAACCTCATATCTAAAAGAAATAACTTTTAATAGTTACTCTTTTATATATTTTCTATGTACATGTAAATTACAGGGTGATAGCTACAATTTATTTTGTACACATAAATTTCAGGGGGATATATATATACATATACATGTGTATATACATACATGCTTGTATATTCTTCATAAGAATGTAGAACATTAATTTTGCTTGTAATCTTATTTTTACTAATTTTTACATCAGTTATAGGCTCATTTTTAAATATCCACAAGTTATTTTATTAGTTAAATGTATTTTATTGAATTATCTCTTTTTAAGAATTTTAGGGCCAGGCGCTGTGGCTCACGCCTGTAATCCCAGCACTTTAGGAGGCCGAGGCGGGTGGGTCACGAGGTCAGGAGATCGAGACCATCCTGGCGAACACGGTGAAACCCTGTGTCTACTAAAAATACAAAAAAAATTAAGCGGGCGTGGTGGTGGGCGCCTGTAGTCCCAGCTTCTCGGGAGGCTGAGGCAGGAGAATGGCATGAACCCGGGAGGTGGAGGAGCTTGCAGTGAGCGGAGATCACGCCACTGCACTCCAGCCTCGGCGACAGAGTGAGACTCCGTCTCAAAAAAAAAAGAATTTTAGTATTCCAGATTTTTCTCTAATTAACATGCCTATACTTATATGTGTTTGAGCACTTATGAAAATATATTTGTAAAATAAATATGTAAAATAGTAATCAAAGGGTATGTCATATTAAATTGCCAAATTGCCTTCCAAAAATAGTGTGCCAATTAACGTTCTCATCAACTTTGTGTGAGAACTCCTGTTTCTTCACAACCTCAGTAATATGTGAACTTGGGGTTTATTTGTTATGCAGCAATATAAAGCTGGAAGAACAACAGAGATAATCTATCTATGAGGTGCCATGGTAGGAGTTGCAAACAGATAAAGCAGTGGCAATGGAGAGAGAAACATTCCATAATGATAAAAGAAGAAAGTTTTATAGACTTCACAGGATGCATCTGTCTTCAAATTCAGAGAATGATGAATGGTAAACAACAAGAGTTTGAGGCACATCAATTGGAAATTTATTACCTTGTAGATAGATGATAAAAAGCTGTAGTGTAGAAGGATAGAAAATTATCCATCTGCCTACTGAAAGAATCAGTTTTATGTAAGATTTGTTTTGAAAAGCTTATAGAATAGGGTGCTTTCAATGTTACTTTCATCCTGTACTTCAGCCAGTCAAAATATTAGTCAATGCTGAGAGATTACAGACGTTTTAAGATTCAGAACATTTTTACCATGTGCTCTTAGGAAATTCCTTATGAAAGTGATCCAGCAATATGGAGTGAAAGTCAGAGGTGGTGGTGGCCCCAATCCAGGAAAACAGAGAACAAGGGTCCAAGAATGGAGTTGGGCCATTGGTTTGCAGAGGCTTAAGTCCAGTTCAGAATTGTAAGGCAGACTCAGGAATAAAAGTCAGATGTTACAACAGACAATAATAAGAAATTTATTATATTGTTAAGACCAACTGCATGAACAAACTACCTGTAACTGGGTACTCCAGATTTAAAAAAAGAGAGACAAAAAACAACAACAACAACAACAACAAAAAATGTATTTCCCCCGATACAAAACAATTTACTCAAGATCAGATGCTGGTGAGCTTTACATCAGTCTCATCAGATTCTCAGCAAGAGACAAAGAAGAGCTGGAAGATATTTGTTATAAAATTTAAAAAATTTACCTTCAATAAGGGATAGTGACTTCAGCAAAAAAGAAAAAGCAAAAGCAACTCCTAACTGTGGAGAAAGGTGTAATTCAGGTAAGAAGCAAACTAATATGTTAGCCTGATTGTAAATAATTGGTGGAGCATACAAAAATGTTTTTGAAGATTTTTAGTTTAAAGTTGCACAAGACTAAAATGTTGGAACTGATAATTAATATAATTACATACTATAAAATTAATTAGTTTAACAATTATAATTAGATACAATTAAAATAATTTATATTGTTCTATTGGTTTTAAACTTGTATACACAACCTAAGAAAACAGTGTGAGGAAACTATGTGACGGAGAAGAATACCAGCAATGGTAACATAAAAGCAAACTTATTTTCAATAGGATTTGGGAATGACAAGCAAGCAGGGAGAAAGAAGGGTTACAGAACTGATTTGCTCATCTATCCCATCATCAAGGGTAGAGTCAAAAACTATTGTCTCCAATTAATGCAATCAAAAGTAGAAGCCTATACATATTATTTAAAATTATGGTGGCAGCTGGTAGAGAAACAATGGTATAATTGGCAGGTAGAGTATTTTGGGAGTGGCAGAAGTGAAATAAATCCTTGTCTTTAACAGCAGGAAGTTAATAGGTTTTACGGGTTGAACATTTCCTAGTCTGAAAATCTGGTCATAAATGCTCCATAATCTGTAACTTTTTGAGCGCCAACATGATACCACAAGTGAAAAATTCCACACTGGAGCCTGTGTGAGGTGTGGCAGTCAAAGTGCACACATACAACACAATTTATTCAGTGTCACCAAAGGAAAAATCAGTTACCTTCAGGTGATGCCTATAAGATGTATGAGACATATAGATGAATTTCTTATTCAGACTTGAGTCCCGTCTCCCAGAAATCTCATAATATATATGCAGATATTCCAAAATCCCAAACACTTCTGGTCCCAAGCATTCCAGATATGGGATACTCAACCTGTATATATGGAATCATAAATCAGAATGAGCTAGAGAAACATGGTAGTAGAAAGTTAAAATCCTTAAAATACAAATTGTGCTGGTAATAATGAAGAGGAAAACATATTAGCCATAAATTCTTCCTCAGGCTAGTAAAAAATATGCAAATGCATATCTATGTGCATACATCTATAGAAGCATGTATAGAATAGACTTCATCAGTATCATGCTTACTCTAATATAATGAATAAAAAGTCCAATAGGATTAAATTGTCCATCACAGAATATTTTTGTATTTATGTCTTTAAGAACTACCTGTTTATCTTTTACTAATTAAAAACTCATGTAGAATTTCAAAAATCTGAGTTGTTCAATAGCACAATTTTTGGTCAAAGTTTAAAAATACAGTAAGGCTGTTGAAATAATATTTAAAATACAAACTCATCTAGAACATTATACTATTTTTTAAAATCAACTGAAAATGGTAACACTTATTTCACAGAATTAAAAGGATGGGTGACAAAATATTACAAGCTGAACATTTGTATATACATAGAGTGATTTTTTGAAGACGGAACCGAAGTTGAGTGAGAAACTAAAAAGGGAAAAAACATATTTTTTTGTATAGCCATTAAAATAAATGAAAAATCAAAACTATCTAAAAAACATCAATGTGGGCAGGCTGCTCCCTTCAGAGCATCAGGGCACTCCTATCTCCTCTATGTTTCCCTCTGTCCTGGCCCCTCCTATCTGCACTAAACGGACCTCTCTCTCTGATTATGCCAGCAGCTGTGGTAGCAGAAAATTTCACAAGTAATGTCCTCACATTAAAGAAGACTGCTACTTTGGTTTTCTGCCACGTATGCCTTCAGCTAGAAGATGGCCTTAGGGGAACACATGTGGTTAGGTGGGGGAGAAAGGAGACACCATTCAGCTGGCCAGAGCATTTGAGCAAACGCGGACAGTCAATACAGCAGCAGATGCCACTGCCAGCTTGCCTTGACACATAATTCCCTGCCCTGGAACAATTTCATTGACTTTTACAGTGGAGGGGTCTTTTATGGTTTCTCCAGTGTCTTTGACTTTTGTTACAGGCCAGAGGCAAGATCTAATAAATCGAAAGAGGCAGAAGTGTTGAATTTCACAAAAGATGTCCGTATGTTTTGCAAATTGCAAAATGGAAGAGTGGGTTATTTTAATGAGCTTCACAGTCCCTTGCCTCTCACCATCCATTTTTGTTTAAACATTTAAGGGCATTACAGAGACAACATGATAAATGTCCAAAGATAGGGAGAAGAAAAAATACAAAGAAAAAGATCTGAAGAAGATCTTGAATATAAAGTTAAAGAAGGAATACAGAGATGGAGGTTCCCTTTTGCTACTAATCTTTTATACTAACTTATGATTCAATTGCCAATTGAAAACATCCCTATGTAAGTAAATTTTATGTACTTGTTAAATTAAGAATAGGAGTTGGCTGCTTGGCTTTCAAGGCTTTCAGATGTATTTCAATTGTATGTATTAGTTAAAATTTTTATACTTGTTTCTGACACATTTTATGAACTCATCAACTTGAAAAATATGGATTATCGTTGCCAGTACTGTATTGACCATTATTTTATTATATGTTTTTTCCTGTCTCACCCACTAAAATGTCGGCTTCATCAGCCATAAAACCTTTTCTCCTCTTCTTCAGTATTGTATCAGCAGTGCCCAGTGGATTAGTGAAAATCTGGTAAACAAATACTTGCTGAAAGAATGATAATCTCTTATATAATGCAGTTCAGATTTCCTTAGAATTAATTGAGGCGACTCTCCACTGGATACATTTCATGAGGTATGGCTTTCAGATTATAATACAGTAGCTCAGGTACTATTTAATCAGCATACTTGAGAATCTTCTTTATTTTTACAGACCAGTGGTTTTCAAGTATTTCTTTTTGGCAGTTATTCTTTCAACTAAATTTCATTACAAATTCCAACCTAATAAGGAGAAAAAAAACACAGAATTATTGTTTGTAAAGTGAGCTTTGTTGATTGGGCTCATTTATTCTTCACCTATTCCTACATAGCAATGCTTGAAAGATCTTTAGAGAAATGAAGGCATTCAAAACATGAAGTTTAAAACCCACGTTTGAGGGATTAACTTTTTCTTCATGAAGCTCGTGCTTTCTGTCTTTAAATTATTAATATATTGACAAATAACATGAAATATGAATTAACTGATATATAGTACATATAAAATAATTTTAAAACATCAGGTTAACATTAAACATCCTAAGAATTCTCCAGTTATTTTACATGCCCTCCATATTTTATTATTTAAAAATAAATGCCTAAAATAGTCTTTTATAAAATGTATATTTGACATTCCATTTCCTGTAGCAATGAGCTAGTTTCGTAGGATCAATTATCTTGCTTTATAAATGCTCAAAATATTTTCTTTAATTTTTTAATGGCATAGAAGTGCTTAAAAATAGTGCAGAATAATTGTGCCAGGTTTTGTAGAAAATTATGAACTCGGGTAACAAAAAATGTGAGAGCATCGCAGCTGATTTTGTCTTGAGATCATTTTCTAATACCTCACAATGGAGTTTCAGTTAGGAAAGTAGAAACTATTCAGGGCCCAGAACTATCAAGGTAAGGAGACTTATAAGAGATCCTTCCCACATTTACTTGAAAATCAGAGGCTATTCAGACTAAGCATGAACCAGAAGTGAACCTTCCCCTCCTCTGTTTCTGCAAACTCATGGCCTGGAGAGAAGAGTCATAAAATAATTCACATACATTAAAAAATATACCATGTTTACAGAATAGAAAGTGGGACATTTGCATTATCTCAATTTTCTCCAAGTATGTGTATGGATTTAAAATCAGAATTTCAAATGTGTGTGTGTGTGTGTGTGTGTGTGATCTTGTGTAACCTAACAGTCTATAATCTATATGGAAATGTGAAGCACCAAATATTGTCACAACAGTCTTGGAGAAGTAAAAGTTGGAAGAACATAATATAAAAAATATATATTTTTTATAAATATATCAAAACATAATATAAAAAATAGTAATAAAGCTAGTTTAGAATTGTTTCATGGGCAAACACACCAATCGATGAGAATCAAATACAGAAACAATATCTTCAATAATTGGCATTTGATTTCTGGCAAATGTATTACTATAGAGTAATATGGAAAACACAATTGTTGCTTTTTATTAAATCATGCTGGGAATATTGGGTATCCAATTAAAATAAAATTTTACATTAAAGACTTAAAAGTAATAAAGAAGTTGAAATAATCCGGGAGAAGTTATTTGATCCCTTAAGACAGGGAAGCATCTTAAACCAGCTACAAAATAGTTCTAACCATAAGGAAAAATATTGATAAAATTTACCACTTTAAAATTAGCAATTGCTGTTCATTAAAAGACCTAAGAGTGAAAGGACAGGCGGTGAGATAAGAGCACTATAGATTAAAAAAGCAACCTCTGGTCAGACACAGTGGCTTGCACCTGTAATCCCTGCACTTTTGGAGGCCAAGGCAGGTGGATCACGAGGTCAGAAGTTCAAGACCAGCCTGACCAATATGGTGAAACACTGTCTCTGCTAAAAATACAAAAATTAGCCGGGCTTAGTGGTGTGTGTCTGTCATCCTAACTACTCAGGAGGTTGAGGCAGGAGAATGACTTGAACCCAGGAGGCGGAGGTTGCAGTGAGCTGAGATCATGCCACTGCACTTCAGCCTGGGCGATAGAGTGAGGGGGAAAAAAAAGGCAACCTCCTTGGGTACTACAGTCTCATAAGAGCAGCTCCATGAGTGAAGCACAAGATGAGATTCAGCTCTCACTCACCAGCTTGGCTGGGTGCCCTTGTTTTTGGCATGACACATACCACTGTATGTGATGACCCTTCATATTGCGAGAGAGGGTAGCTGCAATACGTATAACCAATAAAGAACTGGTATCTAGAATATGGAAATAACTCCAAATGTCATTAAGGGAAACAAAAAATTCAATAGAAAAAAATGAGCAAAAATCTTGAATAGGCAAATAAATGAGCAAAGGTTATATATCTCCATAACCGTATTACTAATTTAGATCAATTAAAATCATAACCACAGTACGATGGTTAATACTGTCAACTTGATTGGATTCAAAGATGCAAAGTGTTGATTCTGGGTGTGTCCATGAGGGTGTCGCCACAGCAGTTTAACATTTGAGTCAGTGGGCTGGGAAAGGCAGACCCACCCTTATCCTGGGTTGGCACCACCTAATCAGCTGCCAGCATGGCTAGAATATAAAGCTGGTAGAAAGATGTGTAAACATGAGACTGGCGTAGCCTCCCAGCCTACATCTTTCTCCTGTGCTGGATGCTTCCTGCCCTCGTACATCAGACTCCAAGTTCTTCAGTTTTGGTACTTGGACTGGCTGTCCTTCTCCTCAGTTTGCAGATGGCCTTCTGTGGGACCTTGCGATCGTGTGAGTTAATACTCCTTAACAAACTCCCCTTTATTTATGTATCTATCCTATTGGTTCTGTCCCTCTAGAGAACCCTAACACACACAGTGAAATATATTGTGCAATGTAAAGTGTCTGAAAGGTTATGGAACAATGGAGACTTATATACTGCTGAGAGGAGTGAAAACTGGTATAAGAGTGTTGATAAATAATTTTAAGTTATGCATACCTCACTGATGGTGTAGTTTTAATTTAGGTATGGAGTAAGTAGTTATATATTTCTGCACATATGAAGACATGTACAAGAATGTTCATGGTAGTATTATTCATAATAGCTGTACTCTGGAACAAACCAAATGTTCAACAGTAGAATGGATAAGAAAATAATGGTACATTTCATTCAGAATTATAGTACATTAATGCAAATGAACATATGGCAGCATGTATAACATAGATAAACTTTAAAAGTCAACCAGTGAAAACACACACGTACAGTCACATGTCATTTAAAGACAGGGATATGTTCTGAGAAATACGTCTTTAGATAAATTCATCACTGTTTCAACATCAGAGTATACTTACACAAACCTAGATGGCATAGCCAATTATACACCTAAGCTATAGGTGTATAATAGGTATAGCCTATTGCTCCTAGGCTACAAATCTGTACAGCAAATTACTGTACCAAATGCTGCAGGCAATTGTAATAAAATGTTATTGGTATATATAAACATACAAAATTCATAGTAAAAATACATACAGTATGATAATCTTATGGGACTACCATCGTGTATGTGATTCATTGTTGAATGAACATTGTTATGTGGTACATGACTGTATTTTATGATTTCAATTACATGAAGTCATCCAAGAGTTAAAACTAAAATATATTGTTTAGGAATACATGCTAAGGTGTTAAACTAAAGAATATCCAAGAAATAATTGAAATAAAACTCAGGAAAGCAATTATATCTGGGTGAGGGAGATATGATGGAGAAATTTCCAAAATGCAGGCAACATTCTATTTTCTTTATTTCTCTAGTATTCACTTTATATCTTTTGTCCATTATTTTTGTCTTGTATGTGCTATGTATTTCCTTTGTTTGTATGTTCTTAGTGAATACTTAAAAACTTATAAATACAATTAATTTTAATTGTATAACACATAACTTACTAATTTATTGAGAGAGGGTGTATTAGTTTTCCAGAGCTGTCATAAGAAAATATTACAAACTGGGTGGCTTAAAACATTAGAAATTTATTCTCCCACATTTCTGGAGACTGGAAATCTAAAATCAAATGTCAAGTGACCCATGCTTTTCCGGAGGGCTCTTAGAGAAGATGCTTTCCTTGCCCCTCCCTCACTTCTGTTGATGGTTGGCACTCCTCGGCCTTCCTTGGTTTGCTGCGGCATCACTGATCTCTGCGTCTGTCTTTGCAGGGCCGTCTCCCACTTATGTCTGTGTTTCTGTGTCCCAATTTTCCTCCTATGAGGACAGCAGTCATATTGGATTTAAGACCCCTTTTAATTCAGTATAACCTCAGATTAATTTATTATATCTATATAATCCCTATTTCCAAGGAAATTCATATTCTGAGTTTCTGGGAAACATAAATTTAAGGGAGACAATATTCGACCTAGTACAGGGGTATAATGTTTAATACACTCATGGGGTGTACTTACCGCTTCAAAACAGCAATATGAAGTTTCCATTGCCTAGCCACCTCTAAGCCATGGAAACACAGAACCTAACGTAAGGGTTGAGATCTCTCCAATCTAAGGGAAAATTCACATTGCTACAGCTAGAGAAAGTCAACATTATCTGTGTGTTTGAGGATGGAGTTTATGGAAATTGTGTCAGATTCTCTATGGAAACTAAGGCAACAGTGACAGGAATTTTTTCACTGAGAATTAGAATCAGAATTATGTTTACCTTTGCATTCCTTGAATCTAGAACAGAGGAGTCCCTTGTTCTGTTAACCAACGATCCTTTCAGAAGAAACACCCTGCTCAAATTTAGATAAACACAGTTTTGGGACTGAAAATCTCAAAATGCTTCATGTATTGGTAATAAATTTACAATGTGAAATTTTTGTTGCTATAGCTATCATTTTCCTTATTCATATTAGAGACAGGATTAGACTTCAGAATAATGTGCTTTATTATTAATGTTCATTAAATAATAATTATGAATACATGATTCACATTTATGGATAGTAAATGACATCTTTGAACTTAAATATATTTAAAATAATTGCTTTCTCATGAATAAGTTAAATCATTTTCTTTGAAATTTTTAAAATTACTGTATTCATCCTTACACTACCAGTTTTCCATTTATATCTGAAATGCTACTTCCAAAGTACTTTTAAAATATTAAAATAGAAGATTTCTATTGGAAAATTTGAATAATTGTCTTCAAAACTAAATTGTGCATATGCTGTATCTTCTCAGTATCTCAGCCAGCAATGAAAAACAAAGTACTTTGGGAGCAGAGTGGAAAAGAGGAAAGAGAAATTTGGATTCATTTCAAAGTTAAAAAAAAAAAAAAAAAAGCCTACTGGCAGACTCAAAGGCCTGGATTATATTCAAAATATCATAGATCGCTAAAACTGAAAATTGTCTTATAAATCATTATTCAGTCTAATCTCTGAGTAGATGGAGAGATGTAATAGGTGAGGAGCCTGAAATCCAGAGAAAATTGGCAACATGCTCCAGGCTTCCCAGTTAGTCAGGTATATCTCTGTTTATTCTACTGCCAGTACCAAAACAAATAGGTTTGGAAGTACACGTTTTCCTAAATACCCCATGTCCTTTTGTGTACGGGTGTAAAATCTAAGAAGATCTGCAGTATTAATACAAATTGGTGACATTACTGGAAGCTTCAGGTGCTGTCCAGAGGGAGAAAAACAAATGACTACAAACAAGAAAAACAGATTTACGCTAAGGTTTGGTTTTCACCCTTTTCGGTGCCATCCTGTGTCTATTTAGCCCAGTCTAAATAGCACACTAAGGAAGACCTGATCGATTGAGGACTTACAATGTGTTTTTGTTCCCATAAATAATTGTGAGTAAATGTGGTCAATTATCCTTAGTGATATATATCCAAAGTGAAATACTGAAAATTTACTTTGACTAATTTCATTTATTCTCAGCGCAGTTGTCTGCATCAGGAGTCATTCATGAACATTTGTCTCCAAGTCCTTTTTTTTATTTTTTATTTTATTTTACCTTTCATTCCAAAGACCACACAGGACTTTTTGATCTCAATTCTTCCTCACTGGCATACACTTTTTGGCCTGAATCTAATTTTAGAGAAACATGTCACTCATTTGATCTATCAGGATATATTTGTCTTCCATATGGGTTGAGGGAAAGCGTCAATCGTAGATAATAGGAAAATTTAAACTAAAATTCTCTAAAAACAATGTCCCTGATTTAGTACTCTACGTCATTAGTGACTAAAAGTAGAAAATCTGTTCAACACGGTTTGTCTTAAATTGGTGCCAACCGTATTGACACACTGAATATATTTCTGTTCATGTACATCATGGGCCATCTATTTTTAGCGTTGAGTGCAAATAAAGTGCTCTCGTCCAATTCCAGGTGCAATCCTTGAGCTTTCTCCAGATGTAGGACTGGAGAGTCACTGGAGACACTTTCAAACCCCCAATCTCTCTTTTTTTTTAACTTGTAAAGATTTAAAGGGTACAAGTCTATTTTGTTACATGGATATATTGTATAGTGGCGAAGTTAGGGCTTTTAGTGTATCCATCATCAAAAAAATGTATATTGTACCCATTCAGTAATTTCTCATCACCCCCTCCCACCCACTCCCACCCACCAATTCTTCTGAATCTCCATTGTCCATCATTCCACACCATGTGTTCATGTGTACATATTATTTAACTCCCACTTCTAATTGAGAGCACATGGTATTTGTCTGTTTCTGAGTTGTTACATTTAAGATAATTACCTCCAGTTTCATCCATGTTGCACAAAAAACATGATTGCATTCTTTTTGGCTGCATAATATTCCATGATGTATATATGCCACGTTTTCTTTATCCAGTCATCTAATGATGGACATTTAAGCTGATTCCATATCTTTGCTATTGTGCATAGTGCTGTGATACAAATGGCAAACAAGCATATGAAAAAGGGCTCAACATCACCAAAAAAATGAAAATCGAAACCACAGTGAGATGTCATCTTACACCAGTCAGAATGGCAATTACTGAAAAGACAAAAAATAACAGATGTTGAAAAGGGTGCAGAAAAAAAAGAATGCTTATAAAATGTTGGTAGGAATGTAAATTAATACAACCTCTATGGAGAACAGTATGAAGATTTCTCAAAGAACTAAAAATAGAACTACCATTCAGTCCAGCAATCCCACTACTGAGTAAACAAAGTAAAATCAGTCATTATATTAAAATGATACAATGCCTTGATATGGTTTGGGTGTTTGTCCCCTCCAAATCTCATGTTGAAATGTGGTCCCAATATTGGAGGTGGGGCCTGGTGGGCGGTGATTGCATTATGGGGATGGATCCCTCATGAATGACTCAGCACCATCCCCTTGGTGATGAGTTCTCACTCAGTTCATCCTGAATCTAGTATTTTTTGTTTGTTTGTTTGTTTTGTTTTGTTTTTTGTTTTTTGTTTTTGAGACAGAGTCTTTCTCTGCTGCCTAGGCTGGAGTGCAGTGGTGAGATCTTGGCTCACTGCAACCTCTGCCTTCTTGGCTCAAGGAATTCTCCTACTTCAGCCTCCCAAGTGGGATTACAGACATGCACTATCACATCTGGCTATTTTTTTTTGTATTTTTAGTAGAGACGGGGTTTCACCATGTTGGCCAGGCTGGTCTTGAACCCATGACCTCAAGTGAACTGCCCGTCTCGGCCTCTCAAAGTGCTGGGATTACAGGAGTTAGTCAGCATGCCTGGCCCTACATCTAGTTGTTTAAAATAGTCTAGGACCTCCCTCTTCTCTCTTTCTTGCTCCCGCTTTCCTCATATGGCATGCAGGCTCCTGTTCACCTTCAACTGGGATTGTAAGCTTCCTGAAGCCCTTGCCAGAAGCAGATGCCGGCACTATGCTTTGTGTACAGCCTGCAGAACTGTGAGCCAATTAAACCTCTTTTCTTTATAAATTACCCAGTCACAGGTTTCATGTATGTATATAGCAAGGCAAGAGCAGACTAACACAGCCCTGCTTCTTTAAATGCCCAGTTCTCTAGCTCCTTAGCATCTGGACAGGAGAGGAGCCCAGTCTAATTGGGTCTTACTTCCATGCACTGCTTGCTAAGGGATATTATTTGCTGAGTAGAGGTAGTTCTCAACAGACCTCCGTTTGAAGCTTTAGATGAATTCCATTTTCCAAACACTACCATGGTTGCTAGGAAAAATCTTGCCACATTTGCAGCCCTTTTCATACGTGTTAATTTTTCAAATTCATGTCCCAATGAAGAAAGTGCTTCTTGCTAAATGGATGAATTCCCTCAAGGTCAATGCTTAGTCAATATTTCAGCCAACCACACTTGAAGAGTACAAGATCAAGGTAGCATGAGCGGGACATCTGTCTACTGATGGGCTTGTGGTGGCAGGGATTCTGGCTGCAGTGAAGAAAGCCTGCTGTGTAGCTGCTAACTCTTTCAGTTGCTGCAGTCCATCAAGCAAGAACAATCCCTGTGTAATTTGTAGTGTGGGAGAATTAACACCCTAGGTGGTTTAGTTACCAAGTGTGACAGCTTTATCAGCTTTTTCAAGATTCACATATAATCAGTTTCAAGGTTAATAAAAGACAAGTTCTAGCATCAAGCACATCATAGACCTAGATCAACGTCTCCAATTATCCCTTCTAACTCAATGCCGGGATCCATCCCCAAGTGCCATAATTTTGGGCTCTCTGGTAGATGTTCTTTAAGTCCTCCCTGCTCTTGTGTCATAGACCTGGATGGGAACTATGACATCCCATCACATTAGAGTTCCATAACAGTGAATCTCTGAGAAAAAGTGTTGGAAGATTTTTAATACCTACTGTACCCACTAACCTGGATATAAAATTAGTCTATACTCTCCCCCAAACACTTCATGACAATGGTTATGCTGAACTTCTCCTGGCCTGAACAAAAGGTCACTTTACACATTTTATCTGCATAGTGGATGAAGTTCTCAAGAATAGCTCAAGAGACTTTATCCGTAGAGAGGACAGTGCATAGCTTTCGGCTGAAAAAAATAGATTAATTTTTACTTGAACACTCTACTACTATATTCATTTTATTGATCCTTATGAATATGAAAGCCAGAAATTTTTAAAATTTGAATTTAAAAGACAAAGAATATTAGAATAAGATAATATCTATAAAAATGTGAAAGGTTATCTTTGTGTCTTTGAACAAGGAAAACGGCAAACTGTCTTGGAATGTTTTCATGGCTACTTAAAAATATTATTATACTTTATATTTTTATAGCAGTTTCAGGTTTATAGAAAAATTGGGCAGACAGTACAGAGAGTTCCCATATGTCTTCTTTTGACCACACAAAGATTCCTTGTTGCTAACATCTTGCATTGGTGTGGTACCTTTGTACAATCGATAAACCAATATTGACTCACTATTATTAACTAAAGTCTGTAGTTTCCATTAGGGCTCACTTTTTGTGTTGTACATTCTGTGGTTTTTAACAAATGTATAATGATATGTGTCTATTATTACAGTGTCATACAGAATAGTTTCACTGCCTTAGGAATCTTCTGTGCTCCACCTATTCATACGTCCCTCTCCCGAGCCCCTGGCAACCACTAATCGTTTTACTATCTCCATAGTTTTACCTTTTTTAGAGTGTCATATACTTGGCATCGCACAGGATGTAGCCTTTATAGACTGACTGCTTTTATTTTGCAATATGCATTTAAGTTTCCTGCATGTCTTTTTGTGGCTTGATAGCTCATTTCTTTTTATAGCTGAATGTTACATTGTCAGGATGTACCACAGTTTGTTTCTCCATTCACCTATTGAAGGACATCTTGGTTGCTTTCAGGTTTTGGCAATTATGATTTGATATAAACATTCATGGGCAGGTTTTTATGTGGACGTATGTTTTC